CTGGTTTGAGAACACCAGTCTCCACTCTGCCCACAGGGACAGTGCCAATACCACCAATTTTGTAGACATCCTGGAGAGGCAGACGCAGGGGCTTGTCAGTTGGATGAGTTGGTGGCAGGATGCAATCCAGAACTTCAAGCAATGTGGTTCCACTGTCATTGCCATCCTTACGGGTAACTTTCCATCCTTTGAACCAAGGCATGTTAGCACTTGGCTCCAGCATATTGTCACCATTCCAACCAGAAATTGGCACAAATGCTACTGTGTCAGGGTTGTAGCCAATTTTCTTAATGTAGGTGCTGACTTCCTTAACGATTTCCTCATATCTCTTCTGGCTGTAGGGTGGCTCAGTGGAATCCATTTTATTAACACCAACAATTAGCTGTTTCACACCCAATGTGTAAGCCAGAAGGGCATGCTCACGGGTCTGCCCATTCTTAGAGATACCAGCTTCAAATTCTCCAACACCAGTAGCAACAATCAGGACAGCACAGTCAGCCTGTGAGGTTCCTGTAATCATGTTTTTGATAAAGTCTCTGTGTCCTGGGGCATCAATGATGGTCACATAATACTTGCTGGTCTCAAATTTCCACAGGGAGATATCAATGGTGATGCCTTGCTCACGTTCAGCTTTCAGTTTATCCAAGACCCAGGCATACTTGAAGGAGCCCTTCCCCATCTCAGCAGCTTCCTTCTCAAATTTTTCGATGGTTCTTTTGTCGATTCCACCACATTTGTAGATCAGGTGACCAGTAGTGGTTGACTTGCCAGAGTCGACGTGTCCAATAACGACAATGTTGATATGGGTCTTTTCCTTTCCCATTTTGGTTTAGGTTTTGAGATGTTTTTCACCAACACCTGTATTCTGGCGGCAAACCCGTTGCGAAAAGCGAAGACTTGATGCTTTTGAGTTATGGTGTTGGAGAAGAATATTGAAAGTACCATGGGCTACCAAAAGATCAAACAGATCTGTGTTGGAAGAAGTACAGCCAGAGTGCTCCTTGGAGGCCAGGATGGCCAAACTTCGCCTCTCATACTTCGGAAAGACATATTGTCAGGTAGGACCAGTCACTGGAGAAGGATATCATGTTTGGTAAGGTGGAGGGTCAAAGAAAAAGAGGAAGACCCCCAGCGAAATGAATTGCCAAAGTGACAGCATCAATAGGGTCAAGCGTGGCAACAATTGTGAGGTTGGCCCATGACCAAGCAGTGTTTCGTTCTGTTGTGCATGGGTCACTATGAGTCAGTACTGACTTGATGGCACCTAACAACAAACAACAACAAATTTTCCTAGATTCATTTTCTGGCCTATATCTGACAATATTCTCATGCTATTCATAATGTTTAAATATTTAATATTCGGGTGCTATCTGACAGTATTTCACTGCTGTTCATAAGGTTTTCATTGGCTAAACATTCAGATATATTTCCTGTCTTCTTCTTTTCATCTGTCTTAGACTGGAAGTACAGCTGAAATCCTTCACCATGGATGACACTGCTTATATTTAAGATACAGATGACATAGCTTCCAGCATCACAGCAACACACAATCCATCACAGTATGACAAACTGACAGATGAATGTTGGTACCTATGGTAAGGACTGAAATATATGACAGACTTTGTCACTACTCACAGAGAGCTTAGAGTCTAATGGAGAAGAGAGTTAAAAAAAAAAAAAAAGTTATGAATGGATGTAAATGCTATGAAGGAAAGGTACACTATCCTATAAAACAAACTAGGATTAGCTTTTCTAAGGAAGTGATGTTCGAGAGAGATCTTGAAGTAAGGAGTAGGAGCTAACCAGATAGCGGGCAGCTAGAAGGTAAGAGAAGGGACAAAGCTTGTGCTATGGTTGGCTCAAATATAATAAATGACCAACAAACCTGGAAATGAGCAACGGAGGCAAGAGTAGACCAGTGTCCTAGTAGACATGGTAAAAGTTTTACTTCTTCTATGAGCAATGGACCACCAATGTAGGTTTATAAGGAATGAAATTAATCTATAGTGTAGAAAATGGAGTTACCTGATTTACACAATCCTTCTTCAAACTTTTATTAAGAACCTACTGGCTATCCCTGGAGTCACCCAAATTGTGAACATAGTTATGCCCTTGAAACACTCATAGTCTAAGTAGGGAGATAAGCATATGTATTATTTCCCTCTTGCTGCTACAAGAAATTACCACAAACTTAGTGGCTTAAAACAACACAAATTTATTACCATACAGTTGTGGAGATCTGACGTCTGAAATGAGTTTCACTGGTTTAAAATCAAGGTGTAGGCAGATCCTTGATTTTTTGGTTTTCACTGAAGGATCTATGGGGAAAATTGTTTCTTTGTTTTTTCCAGTTTCTAGAAACTGCTCATATTCCTTGACTTGTGACTACACATTACTTAAACTTTTACTTTCATAATCACATTTCCTTCTCTGATCCCCTACCTTCCTCTTATCCTTTTAAAGATGTTTATAACTGCATTAAGAGCCTTGTTAGCACGTGGATACTAAATGAAATGTCAATGCTAGCTCCTTGGGACAGAAGACCAGGCAGTCTGCTCCTGTAAAGAACGCAGCCTTGGAAAGCCTTTGGGGAAGTTCTACTCTGTAAGAAAAGATCACTAATGGTTGGAATCTCTCATTGGCACACACAACATGATTGCATTGGACTCATCTGGATAATTCAGAATACTCTTCTCATCTCAAGATCATTAACTTAATGGTATCTGCAAAGTTCCTTTTGTGTAACATATTTGCAAGTTTCAGGACTGGGATGGGGACAGGTAAGGGAGGTAATTTTTCTGCCTACTACAGCATGAAATCAAATTTTGGACAAAAGGCTAAAGAAGAAGATTGGATCCAAGACAAGAACATCTCTAATTGGTTTTATTTTTGGTGGTTACCTTAGGGCACACTGTCATGATTTGGAAAAGAATAGTTTGCTTTCATGTTTCAAATTTTACTAATTATGGATTTTTAAATGTCAAGTGAAAAAATCTATATAGAGTTTTATGAATTTTCACTAGAAAGGTACAAGACATTATTTGGGTATTTTGTTTTTATGGCTTGGGAAACATCAATTTCCAACAGGGTTTTCATCCAGCACCTAAGTGCAAATTGAGTGGAACCTTTTCAGACCTTAAGGTGCATACAGATGACTTGCAGATCTGATTAAAATGCAGATTAAATTTATTAGATTAGGGATGCAACCTGAAATTACACTTTTCTAATGTGTTCCCAGGTGACATGGTGCTGCTTGTCTGAGGACCACACTTCAAGAAGCAAAAACTTAGACTTCTGTCAGAACACATGGAATGTGTAATTCTGGGGAGAAAATAATCATTAGTACATGAAAAATAAACAAGGTGTGTTGGTGTAGGGAAAACTGAATTTCAGTACATTTTCTTACGATTAAGGATCAAAGAAAGTAGAATTTATCTGATCTGGATTAGAAAATTTGGAGACTTCTATTTCTCTGTAGACCACTGTTGTTAAGTACTGTGAGTCAGTTCTGATTCATAGCTACCCTGTACAGGGTTTCCAAGGCGTGGCTGGTGAGTTTGAACCACCAAACTTGCAATTCAAACTGACCTTGCGATAGAGTCCACTAGAGGAACATTTGTTGTCAAGTGAAGCCGAGTTGGTTCTGACTCATAAAAACACTGTATAGGGTTTCTGAGGAGCAGCTGGTTCGTTTGAACTGCTGACCGTGTGGCTCACAGTCCAGTGCAACTCTAGGTGTAGAGGTGGCTTCACATGGCATAATGGAAGCATGAAATTCTTTTGGTTTCACAGAACCGAGTTGCTGTTTTGGGCGAAAGTGTTTTCCCCAGATGTAACCTGATGTACTCTATGCAGAATCACACGCTCAACTTGAATTGTTAATCTTTTCTCAGAATATGTTTCAAGAGCATCTTTTCAGAAAGAAAGTTGGGCCAGTTACAATGTTCACTTTGCCATTCATGGCCAATCTGGAGAGACATCTGAGAAGGTGTGCAGTTGGAAAACAGGGACTCATGGTGCAGTTGGAGCAGGTAAAAGTACAGCTTCTGTGATGTGGTGTTTTTGTGTGTCTAGGAGGGGTTATTAACAGGGAATAATAATAGGTGAACTGGTGAAGGGACAGAAGGAAAAAAAACAAAGACAATCGTTTTCCAGGAGGCCCAAATTTAGCCAGTTGAACTTCAATGTTTTATACACTAAGTATTAAAGAATTATATTACATTAGTACTAGGTAGATCACAGGAGTCCTTGTGTAATGTTGTAGGATCAGCACTGCACAGCAAACCATAAAGTTGACAGTTCAAACCTACTAACTGCTCCTCAGAAACCCTATATATAGGGTTTTTATGAATCAGAGAATTCAAAAACAGTTGCAACAGTATATTGACAGGGAACTTCCAGAGGTTCAAGCTGGATTCAGAAGAGAATGTGGAATAAGTGATATTGCTGACGTCAGATGGATCTTGGCTGAAAGCAGTGAACACCAGAAAGATATTTACCTGTTCTTTATTGACTATGCAAAGGTTTTTGATTGTGTGGATCATGACAAGCCATGGACAACATTCTGGAAAATGGGTATTCTGATACACTTAATTATGCTTATGAGGTACCTGTACTTGGACCAAGAGGAAGTTGTTTGAACAGAACAAGGAACACTGGATGGTTTAAAATTAGGAAAGTCATGTTCCAAAGTTGTATTCTTTCACCATTCTAGCTGTATGCTGAGCAAATAATTTGAGAATCTGGATTATATGAAGAAAAACATAGCATCAGTTTTGGAGGAAGACTTGTTAACAACCTGTGATATGAAGATGATACAACCTTGCTTGCTGAAGACCAAGAGGACTTAAATACTCACTGATCACGATCCAAGGCCACAGCAGTTACAGGCTGCACCTCAATGTAAAGAAAATAAAACCTATCATTTTCCCAAGAAAACTTTTAAAATCAGATCTTCTATGCCTTAACCATCAAGTAGGTTCTGACTCATAGTGACTTTATGCACAACAAAACCAAACAATGCCTGGTCCTGCACCAACCTCACAACCGTAGCTAAGCTGGATCCCATTCCTGCTCCACTGTGCCAATCCATCAGGTTGGGGGTCTTCCCTTTTTCTGATGATCCTCCAGGTGTTGGTACCTCCTGAAAATAAGTTTGAAGTATGAGACATGAAGTCTGGCCATACTGGCTTCCAAGGAGCATTCTGGTTGTACTTCTCCCAACACAGATTGGTTTGCTCTTTTGGCAGTCCATACTTTTAGTATTCTCCTCCAACTCCGTAACTCAAATGCCTCAATTCTTTTATGGTCTTCTTTATTCATTGTCCAACTTTCACATATATATGAGGCTATTGAAACATGGTTTAGGTTAGGTGCACCTTAGTCCTCAAACTGACACCTTTGCTCTTCAACCCTTTAAAGAGGTCTTGTGCAGCAGTTTACCTAATGCAATATGCTACTTGATTTCTTTACTGTTGCTTCCATAAATGTTGGTGGTTAATCCAAGCAAAATGAAGTCTTTGAACATTTGATGATATTTATTTGTCCAGTGGTGAGGATTTTTATTTTCTTTACATTGAGGTGCAACTCATACTGAAGGCTGTGGGTTTTTTTGTTTGTTTGTTTGTTTTTTTCTTCATTAGTAAGTATTTTAAGTCCTCTTCACTTTTCATCAGAAAGTATTTTAAGTCCTCTTTGTTTTCAGCAAGTAAGATTCTATCATTTGCGTATTGCATGTTGTTAATGAGTCTTCTTCCCATCCTGATGCCACATTCTTCTTTATGCAACCCAGCTTCATGATTATTTGCTCAGGATACAGATTGCATACGTATAGTGAAATAATACAACCCTGGCGAGCACCTTTCTTGATTTTAAACCATTCAGT